AATTCGAATGAAACAAACTCTAGTTTTGCATAAAGAACCCTTCGGAGAGTAGAAATACTGCCATGGAATGGTCCTTTATGTGGACGCTTGACGTTGAATTGGCAAATTAACTGAAACAGCAGTGTGTTGTCAAATGTCGATGCGTTCTCACCGCAGGCTACAGTGACGAATTGCTTTGACAGGTACTGCAGCAAGCAATTAAGTTGAATTTCTAGTAAAGCATCGTTCGACCAATGAATTTAAGCAATCTTTGTTAATGAAGGACGAGGGCAAATTTATTTCACCGAAATTTTATTGCTGATACGGCGCCACTTTCTGTTCAGGTACTTGTGAATATGTTAGTGCTGGTAAATGGCAGTGTTTAACGTCGGTGCACTTGGGCTAATCATTCACAGCCATGATTTCATCCACGTCTCTGGTGTCATATTTAATCCTCTACTTAGGTGTCTAATAGAACAGAAATACACGTTCAGTACATCCATTTTTCTGTTCTAAAATGAACTTAGAACTCGTTTTCTTGACTTAATACGCACAAGCTTCGAATGGGGGGATAATTTTAACACAAGTTCGAGAACTATGTGGCGTATTGCTAGTAGTCACAAAGATGTGTAAAAACCCCAGATTTACACCCTGATTCAAGGGTAGGGACAGTAGGTAAAAATTCATGGTAAATCGTGTCGATTCACGTCCACTGACTCTGTCGCCGCACAGGTAGACACCGCTCCCCTTTTACGACACTTCCGTTGGTCATTCATGCATGTTTACACACACCACCCCTGCTAATTAGACCTCTCACCTGGCCATTCTGTCACTTGTACTCTCGCTGGTTCGTCCGCACCACACGGTCAACAACCACACTGATGCCTGCGTGGGGAAATCGGGCCGAAGCCTAATTGGTTCGAGACCCTATCCGGGGCCTCTGCAAATATGAGCACTCAGATTCACTGAATTCGGTTTAGCCAAAAAACTTCCCCTCAGGAATCTTATCCGTAAATCACACGTTTGTATGCATACCTGACTACCAAATTCTTTACACTTTAAATATTTTTGTTGTCTCATCATAAGGACGATGTGGATACCTACTGTATGGGCATTTGGATTTCCAAAATTTTTATTGCGATTGAGTCTGTATGGTGAAAGTGATGCTCCACATTCTATGGAAAGTTAAAATCGACCACTTAACCAACCATTTTCGGGAGTTATTTTGTCCATTTAATGTGAACGTTTTTCGCCGCATGCGGATAAAAAGCTTTTGAAAGTGTGATATTAACATGGAAGCCCGAAATTGATCGTGGCAAACAAACGTAGCCTTTGATTTTTGATTCTGGATACAATTTGAAGGAAAGTCTCCAGTGACATGAAAAGACTTCATACTAAAAAAGGAAAATGACTTACTGCACCTCCGTGCTTTACAGAGTATGCGTCCTTTAAATCGAAAGGCATAGAATCGAATGTGTAGATTCTTGCTTTTCTCTGCATCCTGAAGACGTGCTATCTCCCAGATACTCTCATTGGCTAAAGAAGTCGACTCCAACGGTAACAGTGGAAACGCGCGTCCTGAAACGTAATCGAAGATATGATTGCGTGGTCATGGAGGAGTGTCGGTATGGACGGACTAGTGTCTTTTCCATCCCAGACTGCTGATGACTCAAAAAGAAGGGTTAAACATGTTCTGTTATGAGTACAATTGTTTGGACGAGGCACTTAGTGGTCTAAAATGCTCTGTTGCCAAGCAATTAAGTAGACTTGCGGACAATTTTCTTGCTGCAGATTCTCTTCTACGACCGAGGGTCAATCGAATCCTTTAAACATGTCAAAGTCAGACATCGGCAATGGCAAATAGGTTTGATGCTATTTTAACATGGCTGTGAAGCCAATTCATTTGCAAGGACCTGAACTTGTTAATTTTCTGTGGTAGACATCACCGCCAACGGAGGTTAATCAGTGTGGCATTTGATCAGCTGCTCATGATAGTAACAAACAGGGACTGTTTTAAATGACCAAATTCCTCTGGAAACAATGAGGGTGCGCGCATTCTGTGCGCACACGTGATAGGTGTTGTGCAGTGTTAAGACTTTTTGCGTCTATCTCAACTTTAGCGGGTAGGAATGCTGACATTGCACATTCGGCAAATCGACCTGAACTTTCTAAAGCGCCAGAGTTAGCAAAGTACTTAAAATCGCAGAATTTGGCTCTTGTTTCTACATAGGCAATCGCTTTTGATAAAGCACTTTAAATTATCAAAGGGGGTGTAGTTTTTCTTCTAAAAAGAGCTGATTTATCATGAAGGTGATTAGTATTTACAATTAGGGTGGTTAAGTTCGAAGGCACATACACACACAAACTCGAAGGCAGACATTTGCATCACCACGTGTCTTGTACAGCTTTCGAAGTGCCTTCATTTATTGCATTACACTTTGAGTGAAAATCAACATGCCTTAGCAAACAGGCTCCCAAACTTCGAACCTACAACCATGAAAACCCAAAAGCATTACGTGACAGAAGAGACACGTTCCCTCATTGTTATCACTTTCTTTGCAGGTTCTCTTGTGTCACATTCGCTAATTTAGTCAAGTTGCTTTGAATTGGTCCTTAAGATGCGGATGATTTTGAAGCCAGGTGGCACGACTGCATCCGTGATGCAAACACTTTTGCTAAACGGATTAAAAAGAAATCTGGTGGCCAAGAAAAGCGCGAATCGCACTGTTTTCATGCGTTTTCTGTCGACTGCCCTATCGAACCTTAATTAATTAACGATGGAGAGCCCTGCATCTTTCCTACGAAAACCTGTAAAAGTTAACAAAAATAGACTGAAAAAGTTTATTTTGGACGAAGTTCTAAGTTGCCTCCACCTTGTTAGTCGCAACTGCCTGAAAATGTACGCTTGAAAGCCATCTTCTGTACGTTCAGTCGTTGACTACATAACTTTTGGCAACATTATATTGTATTTTGCCAACTAACCAAAGACGTAATAAGTCTTTGTGCGGATTCCATTAATTTATGCAGATTTTAAAATGACTTTTGAGGCTCCCTATTGGTAAGAGGCTTTACTTGTACAAATTGGACACAATTCAATTGGATTATTTCACACCAAGGATGTCCACATAGTAAAAAAGTAAATTGGACGGTAAACGGTTGTTGTTTCTTCCATTCTTAACGCATTAAAAGGCACTTGCTTTGTTCACCAGTTCGGGCCATGCAACAGAAATAAAGAGGATTTCCGGTTTCATCAAATGCAACATGCCACAATCTCCTTTATTGATTTTTCTCCATTAGCAGGTTATTCTACCAAGTATAACTGGTTTTCTGTTTTGTGTGACTTAGTAAGCGGTGTTTTGCAAGCTTAGTTGAATTGTGGGTTGTCCTACCATGAGTGTCATCGTTAAAAGCGATTGCCACTTCTAAGTTCCTTGCAGACACATAGAGGTGCGTCTTGTCGTGAACTGCAACATGCTTGTGTAAATATGAGTCGTATTTTTTTTTCCGCTATTACTAAACAGAAAGACACATTGACAAAGATGTTAAACTAAACACCCGCTATTACAAATAGATTGGAACTTTAGGACGGAGGCAAAGTTTGAGCCCAAATTTTGGCTTATGTTGCACTGGGATGGGATTATTTCCGGAAAATTTGGTTGGCAACTGACGCTTTAAGCCCATCTGTGGGCAACGTATGCTGCGAAATTGGGGAATAGGGCATATTTAAAGACCAGACGCTCAGTGCCATCAATAGAGCATACACAAAGCTGGCATGAGGATTTTGCTCTGCAATTGTGAACTTGGTCTCAATTGCTCTTTTACTCGACTTCAACAAAAAAATTCCCAATTGTTGATTTACTCTCCTTGCGAACCTCAAATCGACATTTAAGTGGTCTAAAAAACCTCGCTAGGAAAGCCAAGAGCAGACGTTGCATGATAAATGACTATAAAGGTCTCCAGTGACCAGATGAATCCAATGATAATGCACTTGGCAGCAAGCTGCGGCTAATGTCAGACAGTGGTCACCAGTGAAAACGACTGAGCAAATCGTTGACTAAATTTTGCAAAATAACTACTTACAGCTGCTTCTATTTTGTGAACTGGAACGTTTAGTTGCAATAAGACGAAAAGTGTCGTCGGAGAAGCTGTCGCTGAGACACTTGGTGCATAAACACATCTGGGTCGAGAAAATCCTGGAAGATGTCTCGGAAATAACCTTGGTTTTTCCAGGTTACTGTCACTTTTAAGAATTCTGCCGTCACAAACAAAGTGCTACGCTTAAGCATTTGCCTACCGAGCTGCCAATTTCCGTACACCCACCCCTGCATAACGCTTAGCCAGTCAACGTGGTGAGATAGTTGATGATCGGACACCTATTAAAGGCACATATTTTCTAAATATCGAAAATGTGGACTAAGACGAATATATAGCAGTTACTTGATAGCTGAATGACTTTACTACAGCCAAATATGACCACATAATGCTGATCTCAGTCGAAAAGATCTGCATTTAATTTTGGTTTTCTTTCGTTGATTTGTGTCTTGTGGCTGCCATGGTGATGAACTGGTACAATTAAATCAGATGCCATGCCGCGTTCACAGCTGAAATCGTTGGCGTCGCTGGTACAAATCGGTTAGCAAGTCATTTTATGTGCTTTTGAAAGCCATTTAGTCTCGTTTTTGGACAATTTTAAATCAAGTAAAGGAGAGCAGGTCAACAACTACGGTCGTGAAATCGAGGTTCACCATAAGTTATTTCTAAGTATACCTTACACAGCAAATTCAACCAAAAGGCACGTCATTACCGAATTACATTGAGTAAAACCGGTTGCTTACCACGATGACACACGTTTTCCTCAAGGTGACAGCGACTGCCGCATTCGATGTAACTGGAACTTTCGTCCATAAAGCTTCGGAAATGGCGACAAATTCCTATTCGTCTGGACTTCCGCGTAAACACGATCGCCTGACAAATCGGCGTCTCCAGACAGGAGTCGCGGCACTGCTCTAGGGAGATGTGGCGTTCAAGCCGGAACTGAAATCCACTTATGTGCTCCCGTGAGGTTGAATTGACCATTTTAAAACACTCGTCCTGATCTAAATGCACAAATTTAAATACCCCACTTTGACTTGGAGCAAATCCTCAACGGTTTTTTCCTCCCCTTACATTAGTAATATTGAAGTGTAAAAAATGCAAATTCATGAATATGCAATTATTACTGAGGCCAATGGAAAATGCAGCCTATTGTTAAATGCGTACAGCAAAACCTGTGTAATGCGAAATTGGCCGACATTTCGAAATTCTCTGATGTTAATGCATCCCATGAAAATACCATTTTAATGCTCTCGTCATAGAAGTCACTGCATTTCACCCATTTATTCAGGCATCTAATTTTTCATTCTTTCTAATTCCAAAGGTATCTAAGGCTGATGACCTGACCAATTTATGCGCAGTTATCGCAATCACCTGATGCTAGCCTCAAAAAATGTAAAGACAGTTTCAAAAAGAGAGATTATGTACTTGGCACGCTGTTTGGAAATGTAAAAAATATGAAAAAAGTGTCATCTCCCAAAAGTGCACAGTCGTTTTGAGACTTTCGTCTGCTGTCAAAAAAGAACGAATTACTTTATCTATTTTGTCGCATGATTACCTCTAAGCGATATCGATATTTAGTTATGCGAGAGACAGTGTAAGCGTGAATTAAAATACAGTTTTTGCTGGCCCATAAAATCCAAGTCGAATTTGTAACACAAGGAAATTTCTATGCAGACACACATTTTTCTACGTAGACGGCGAGAAGACAGATGACGAGCGGTTCCAACTTGCGTCGTAGAATGATCCATCGACCATCCAATGGATACTTGCATTGTACCTCGGCACTTGTGGCGGTGAGGTGGCCACTGGACGTACTGCCACAGAACTTGTATGAGCTCCACGGCAATCGGGTATCAGCACTGTTGCCATAGTGAACGACAGTGTGCATGTTCTTTGTGACAAAAACCTCCACACTAGACAAAGCTAAGAAAGGCGGACAAATGGTATCTCAACAGACGGAACCAAACTGAATTCAGTTTAAAAGGGAGACTACTTGGTTGGCTTAACTATCTGCACTAAGTTTGGGGCAAATTTATTCAGGTTCTCAAATCACACAAACTACGCTTTAAGCTCAGGGAAGCACTTAAGAAGTGAAAACATCAAGTATTTATGGCAGCTATTCCAAAAATGTAGAAGTTGCCCAATCTTAACAACTCATTTTAGTAGTGTCTTAATGGCTGCGGTTTTGAACTGAGTTGATCTCGGGGGTATGTGCATTTAGAAATGGGATGATAAAAAGTTTGCCACATACGGGCTAATCTCACACACCATCATTTTAATGAAGTTTACACTACGAAATTACCTGTCGCATGATCTGACAGGATCAAACAGACAAAAGTATAAGTGGCCAATCATTAAAAGACAAATAACAACCAGAAGTCTCACGTTCCAGTGTTTTGAGGAACTGAGATGCTGTCGTTTTGACGGGCTCTCACTTAGAATTCACTAAGTCAAAGTTTGTTGTTCCGAATAGAATACACATTGTGTTCCTACGTAATCAAACCTATCAAAGGCCCAATGCTGAAATTGAAGTCAAGGTTATGTAAATTTCCGTCTAGTAACAGCAGTCCATCCGGAAAAAGTGGATATAATATAATTGTCTTTCTATACAGTGGTTCTTGTGGTCGAAATTTTTAAAAATTTCTTTATGGTAGTTCCATGTAGCCAATAATTAACCGTAGCAGTTTAACATGGGTACCTAGAATGTCTGGACTTGACACATCGAAACCCACTATTATAGACCAATGTTTTTAACATCTGTCAACTCCTTCCATGAAGTTGGTCTTCTCGTGGGTGCTTAGAGTGATTGGAATCTCAGGCATTTTCGTGCAGGAACATGACATCAGCTCTATTCGTCGATGTCTGGTCTCTGGATATTGTAGTAATCAAGCACAGCGCTTGCGGTTTTTACTGCTACTTCCTGTGTGACCCTTTTGTCTTGATTGAAAATGCTTTTGGCGCGGAAAATGAGGTTGTTCAGATAATAACTGAGTGTTTGTATGTGGATTGCAGAGCAGCATTCAATTCCTACGTGCTGTTGAATGGATTCCCGTGACTTTTGTTCAAATATGCCTTTCTGCTGGTTGCACGTTGAAGCTTGTCCTCTGCCCGAACTTGAGTAAGGTCCCACAGCCATTTTCTCGTCACTTAAAAGGTGCTTCGGACATCATCGCTTCGTTGACCACAATGGCTGCTTGCTTTATCGCTAGAAATTTGCCGGTTACTTTGTGGTTAGGGGCACTTTCACTCGGCAGAAAATCCGTGTCAAATATAATGAATATTCCACACTGCCATCAGCCCACAAGTTTTCACATCCCGAACATCTGGACATTCCATATAAATGAGTCTGTGTTTCTTTTTCCGAAAGCGTCAAATAATACTAAAAGCTTTCTATAAGCACACAAAATGTCAACAAATCCAAGGTCAGGTCAGGTTTTTGTAACAATAAACAACGCTAAATTGCAAAAGAAAACAACTCCGTTTGTGAGTTTCCATAAGTGAAATCGGACATGTGTTAAAAAGAAACAGGAAAGAGAACCAGAATTCAATTTGGCCTCTAAAATTTAATGACGAGGTTCATATTTGGAATTAAATGATCTCCGCTCACGCAATTAACCAAACATGCTTGTCTGTTCCATGAAAAATAGTTTTCAAGGTACTAGAGAATTCGATAATGCAGTGTTTTCAAATTATGAAGTAACTTTGTCACTTGCTTTGCAGCCTTATTTGTAAAAAAACCTTCCAGCTTTTTGCTTCTCTGTTCATAATTAATAGCATTCTCACTTTAAAGAAAACAGAACATTTGTTTGGGAAAACTCTCCCACTGGTCTCGTGACTGTTTAATTTTTTAAATCCGTCATTCTTTTTATATTTATCATGCTGCCTGCGTTGTAAATAAAGATCACATTGCATTTTCCTTCAAAAACAGCAAATTAAATCTGCATCAAGCATCTGCTTGCGAAGTCATTTTGTAACTTGATAATTTCTTTAAATGTGATATTTACAATCAACAAGAGCTAATTGGTTGTTTCATTATAAACATTTAAAAAACAAACATTTTCGTTTGACTCTAACATTGATTTTGTTTCAAATGACATCCCATAGTTGTTTTAGGGTCTTTCTTAGTACCCAACCTCTTGATTGTCATTTTGAGACGAAGAGACTGAACTTAGCGTTTTGAACATGATCTCAAAATAATGACAAAGGAACAGCAATCATTTAGCCTAAATTGATATGAAATAGACAAGATGAATGAACAAATACCATCGGACAGTACTGTCAATGTGCACAATTGTACTAGAAGCAGTTTTTCCAAATTACCCTACCACTATGACTTTCTTCCACTGTTTCAGGTTATAACTCATCCTTAGTCATTAGTTTAATTTCATATTAATTGTAATTAGGAAAACTTAAATTATAGTGATTTCCTAAAATCATGCGCTCGTTGCAGTGTTCAGAAATGGTTTTCGTAAGAACAACAGTGTGCCACGAATCCTATAAATACGTTTTTCACAAGGAATAAGTGAAATCTATTAGCTTTTAAGGGTCTGATGTTTTAGTTAAGTAGCTTAAAACAACGCCGATGTTTTCAGATTTTATCAGCAGTTATTGACGTGCCGAGTTTAGATTGCTGTCCGCAACTCCACAAGTCAAATGCATTACAACGAGAAACTCCTTTCGTATGTTAACTCCAGCACCACAGAAACTGGCCTTCTATACTTGACGAACTACCATGAGACTTCTAAAGACCTTGTGTTACCTATGATTAATTTTAACTTCAAACAAAATTCACGTGTATTTAATTTGCTCTAAAAGAGTTAAATACAAAAGTCAATATTTACGTGGAAAAATATGTTGCGAATATATCGAAGGGAAGAAGTCAGCAATTTACACGCAAATAAAAGTTCAGTAATGATGTCAATTTTATAAAGGATCAAGTGTCAAGTTTAAATAATTTTTGCAAATAAGTGTTCTGCTTGAATAAGAATAAAGCTAGATACAGTAATGGAACACAGTTGCAATTTATTTTATAGTTATCAAAACTTACTGGTGTTAGATTGAACATCTGGATTAAGGGCAATACGAAGCTCGCTGATATTGCGTGTTATTATTCCCAGGTCAACAACTAGCCAACTGTATTCACTAGCATCATAGACACCGGGTAGGGATTGAAAGCACGTTGGACCAGTGCTGTTGAGCTCCTGATCAACGGCATATTCTGGCGCGCTTCCACTTGCAACAGAGCTGGCATACACTCTTGATTGCTTGATATTCAAGAGATGGAGGTCTAAATCGTTGGGAAAAATGCAGACCAAAGTTGAATAGTGAAATAAAAGTGGTGGTCAGTACGAAAATAGTGCATTCACTTGCAATAGCAAAGTGTCAAGATGACAGAAGTTCACGAGTGATTAATTTCAAAGTATTAGTCTAATAGGTGCTAATCATGTGTGATTAACCACATTTGCTAAAAATAACAAGTGTCTGCATTGCTGGTAGAAGTTATTTGGAGTTTTCATCGTGGAAGCAAAACATCGGTAAGAACGCGAATGGATGCTTCGGAGAAAATAACCTGGGGAGTCGTCGACACAACCCAGATGCTGGTAACCCTTCCCCTTTTGCAAATTGTACTTTGGTTCTTCATGTTAAGGTTAATAATGCATTAAAAGATACACCGGATATGTTAAACGACTGCAAAAATGGAAGCAGTGTTTGTGGAAATGGACCGCAAGGTACAGCTTTTAACTAGTACTGCGATGTTTTCAAATTGGTCGTGATGCACTTGAACTCCTTTCATTTAGGATTGCCTTAATAATTGCATGCTCGAAAATTCAGTACACTTACGAAACATGCTTATGGGCAATTAAAAACGTTTTCTGCATTAGTACAGAGCTTCAATGGTTTTAGAAATTTCGTTGCAACCATAAATCGAGTATATTATCATTAGGCCTGTTTAAATCAAAATCGATTAATGATTAATGGAAGGCATTGTTTGAAGAGATAGTAAGGAATGCTAATAGATTGTGAACCAGCTTGTGTGGCTAGTTCGTGATTTTATTCTGGGTGAATTTATCTTTGATATATGTACTTACCAAATATCCCGTATTCAGCAAATTGAGTTACCTATATCATTTACCAGACTTCGATATTATTAACCATTATTCTGCAGTTATAATTAAGGTGATTGTGAGTGAAGCGGTTATGAGAAAAAATATCATTAATTGAGAATAATTAGCAAAATCTGTAGCGTGTAAGCGGAAAATCTTGCCCTACCTGCAGAAGCAACGTAACCGAGTGACAAGGCGAGAGCTAGGAGACTCAACGAACGCGCAGACATCCGCGACGTCATGCGGAGGAAGCACAGTGCCTGTGGATCGCGTGTGCCGCACACACCCACCACAGCAACTTAGACTGCGTGCCCTGTATGAATTTGGTGTCGCACCTGTTCATCTGCACCAATCCGCTAGTTCGAATGGCCACTGACGCAACCGTTACTTGAAACCCCAAAGTGTAATCATTAGTGGCTGCACTGCAAAGTAAAAAGAACTTTTGTTGTGACGCAATAGGGCAAATTTTCGACACAAGCTCACAGTTTACGTGTTATGAAATTGCAGCCACTGGGTTTACATTAAAATGAATCTTGGTAATTGAGTTGAAGTGTATTCTGTCACACTGAAAAATTTAGGCTGGAAGCTATAAAGCATGGTTACATAAACACCCTAAATTTTAATTGTTTGGCCCGATTTCGCCAACGTTTGAACTTAACCTATGATTTTGGCTGCCAATGCGACAAAGCCGATATTCGTGTCGAGTATTTTGCGACAAGTTTTCTTCTGACCAAATTATTGAAATCCAGCGAGATACAATGCATTTTGCAAAAGACAAAGTGAGGTAATCAGGGGATTAGTATCCTTTCCCAAGGTCAACAAATTGATACTACACCAAAACCTCTTGTTGTTATTTGGGCGCAGATAAGGAAGCAGTGTTGAAACCAGGTAAAACCGTTCCGGAATGGACACAAAATGGGAAAAAGCAGCGGGATATGACATGAACCCTACACGTTAATTGAAAACTTTCGTGATATGGTAAACTGGTACCACGGATATTTTATTTTTCAGCATATGCATTCGATAGAGAACAATTTGACTTACCTTTCATTTTATTAATCGGCAAGTTTGAAAGTATCGTCGGTCAATAAATGTTCATGGTGAGTTAGTCGATGAGGAAAGAACGCAATTTTAAGTAAATTAAAAAACTAAAAAGGAGGTATTTTTAAATTTAATTAGACTCGACCAATCACAGCTCTCAGACTGTGTGGTCTTGCAGCAATCTAGACCGAAATGCATTGAACGTAGTCGCTCTGGTTGTGTTCTTCCCAGAAATTTCTTCGCCCAACTCACTAAACCCCAATTTACATTTTTGAAACAAGTTAAAGGAATGAAGGCAACTGCTTGAGAGTCACAGGCTAATGTTCTGTTTGACTTAGCAAGACATCTGTCAAGTTAGATTCCCAAGTTTAAATTTTTGAACACGTTTTTTTTCAAAGGTGGACAGATCAGTCTTAATCGGTAGGGTTGTAATCTTCACAAAGTCGTGCATTCCTTTAACTGTTGACTTGCCTAACACCTCATTTATTATAAAGTACTTGTACAAACTGTCAAGGGCTGCAACAGTGTATCCATTCAGGATGTCTATGAAACTTGTCTTATGACGCACTTACGAATTTCATGAGGCTAGTCCGTCTGAAGGAGTCAAGAATTGAACATTTTTTTGTTGTAAACATGCTGGCCAGCAAAAATCAGTGCACTCAAACCGTTTCAAACACAAACAGTTCATTTAGTTTCCATGTTCTGGATGCTTCAGAGGAGTTAAATGATGCGTAAATGAACTCTTACTACAACGGGGACGTAAATTTGCTATCGGGACAGCCAACAAATATGCAAATGGTGTTTGAGGTTGCCCAAATTATGTTGAGGGATTTCCTCAAACACTCCGTGAGGGGTAAAATTGACGTCATTCAACTCAACAGTGTTGCCGCATTGCCATTGTTTTAAGTAACTAAGAGAGATACCGGTACAGTTTGTTTTGCTATCATTGGCGCAAATTATTGGGTCGTCATTAGCTGTATATCGGTGCTAGTGCAAAGTGACTAAGCCATGTATGTATTATTAAGCAGTAAAGATGCCAAGCTAGTTGTTCTCAATAAATTTCAATACATTATAAGACCAAACATATTTAAAAAAATATCTAATGTGCCGATCTTAGGTTCTTAAATTACAATAATTTTTCAGAAACATCGCAGCTTAAAAATTATCTAAGCTGACACTGGTGCTTTGAAATCAATTTATTTGATTTATCAAACCATGGATTATCTAATCGATTTTCAGTTGCTTATTTCATGATCAAATCATTCTGGTGTAAGGAGCGGTTTGAGGTGCACGCCATTTCATGTACAATCAACCGATTTTAACAAGCTACGAATAGATGTACTAGAAGCAGACACTTACGCCTGTTTAATGATTCAACAATGTCAAAGATGGCGACACAAATTTGAGGTGAACCTTTGGATGCTTGAACAATTCATCAGCATGACCTGATGTTTGCTATAATAACCCTTTTGTGCTGTAGTGTTCCATTTGTGGCTTTCTTTGCACAGTTACCCAACGGAGGTTTTGTATCCATTTCTCTCAAGTCCACGTTTGGTCTGATCTGACCCTGGTTCAGTTTATGAATTTAAACACGGACTTTAAAGAAGCGAGATTGTTGTCAGCGTTGACATTGTTGATTTGTGGTGAATTTATTGACAACCTTTTCTCAGAAATCTTAGCTGCATGAAGGTAGAAGGAGTGTAGGTTAGCGATGTAAATATTATAGACACAAAGCGTAAAAATTCTATTTAATTATTTGACTGCCCTTTGTACTAACAGGTCGTGGGACACCGAGGGGTTCACAAACCTTTCAGATGAGCAACCAGAGTGACAAAAAACACGAACCGTGTCAACCTTCTGCCGTTTATAAACCAAATCTTTATCTTTGATTCGTTTATCTTGGTTTGATAATTGCTCACTCAACACAGGTATTTGTGCAGTAGCTAATGTAAAATGGTTTGGCATAAAAGGCCCGTTGTTGGTTTGTAGCATAGTTCATCGATCGTCAACTTATTTTACAGTCTTTGTATGATTCTCCCATTACTTTCACGCATTAATTGTGTTTGCATTATACACTAAAAGTTTTTTTTTAAATATAACCTAAATTTTCACACTCCAACTAGCAAGCAATGCTGATGCCTTTGAGTTCTACCTTGATTGGCTACCATTGCCACCGAATGATTGGTTGGTGAGTTGTCTGATATAGAGTTTGGGTGAACTAGACACTTCAAAAATATAAAGTGAGTTTCATAACAACTTTTAATTAGGAAGCTGGCTATTTTCAAAACGATTATTTAAGTTATTGCATTTTTATCTTATGTTAAATGATACAGTGCTTAGCCTTTAATTTATCAACAAAATAATTTTTGTCTGTGAACGCAATTTATAAATTTCCTGAGTTGTTTGTGATATACAGCGTTCAACTATCAGCCATAATTACGTTCTTTGTGATAGCACACTCCAAATTATAAATTTCAACACTGCCTGAACCCAGCAAATATGCATAGCCAAATTTATAAAATTTATTACATTTTACAACCCCTTTTCATGTTAATTAAGCGTAATTTCTTTAACAAACCTGGATGAAATGTTACACCTTTGTATAGACTTTGTGTAAATGTTGCAAACCGTGCAAAAAGTGTTTTCTTTAGCCCATAAGTTTAAATGCGATAAAGTGGCCTTTGGACAATTTGTTCGAAGGGATTCACGCTTCCTCCACCAAACCAGTCGCAATTAGTGGAAAAGGCATGTTTTGTGGACTTAATCTTCCACGGATTGATGCCTAATACGTATCCCACGTAGGATTCATTTTGCATAAGAAATAAAGCTTAATTCAGACACAAAAACACTGCAAACAAACGCCACGCAATCCGCACACGGATGTCCTTGTGATTTCATCCACTGCCAAAGTGATGCCTTGCTCGTCACTTTGTTCACTCCACGCGGAGTTGGAACACTGGAGCGGGCAGTGGCAGTTCGTCCAACTCTGACTTGAGCGGCAGTGAGTTCGACACTGGCAGTGATTCAGTGTAGGCTGTGGAAGGCCCCGATTTGGCATTGTGAATGACGCCAATGTCCCTTTTCTGTACCACAGACCAGTTGTTCACCTTAAACAGCCACGAACCAGGGTGAAATACATGAGTTGCATGAGGTCAGGGAATGGGGATGGGTCCGGTAAGGACGCTGAGATGATGCGAGAGCACGCTTTGGAAAGGTAGACGTCCTGATGGCTGTCAGGTTGCTCCATGCTTAAGGTGCCTTCTTCAAATTGCACACTGCCTTGTAATGCCAATAGTAACATTTATAATAAATAGAATGCAGTAAATCTCGACGCAAAAGTCATATTTATGACGTAGGTTCAGTTTGCATTAAATGTCGTGGTTTAACGTTGCTATCTAAATCACCATGCGTCCTTCGAAAACAAACACCACTGTTATTAAACCTTTTTGGACTCTCATTCTTGAGCTGACTCTTCTGAGCGACGGGGATGATCTCTGTTATCATTCTCAGGTGAAATGCATATCCGCAATTATATTTTGCTAAATAGCCATGTTTCCATTATTGTATGGATGGGGAATAGGCACATAAACAACTTTCCCTCTTTTGGGACAAACGCCGAATAACTCGCATCTTCATGCCGAAATGGATATCGTCACCTCCCTTTCATGTGCGTTCGCATTTTCTGGACACCTTTTGTACAAATCCTCCCTATATGATAATATTGTTCTGATTGTAAGGCAACTGTAACAAAACCAGACGCATATTATGATAGTTTTGGCAAGTGAAAGGGCACTGGAGAATTGCGTATGCATATTGTTGCAAGCACTTGGATGAAGTGTAATTATTTGCTGGTTTATAGAGCTACTTCAATTTCGCTTATCTCCAAAACAAAAAAATGCAACCAGAGATGAGTATTTTATAAATTTAGTTGTTTTCTGGGTCGGTTTTTCCTCCTAAAGGTATTTCTGGGTAAACCTTTGAGCAGGTGGAAAGTTTTGTTTAGATTTTCATTAATGAATGTTGGATGGGTTTACGCGAAAATAAAAAAAATTAGATTTGCACAGTGACTAGCTATGTAAAAAGTCTGCTGTTGGTGAAGACCCATGCCACCATCTCTTAACTTTCCAGCAAGTTGCCATAAACCTAGGTGATTTCTTCCCTTTACAAAATATTCAATTTAACGGTCAACTTGCAAACCTTCTCAATGGTTTAAGGCTTGGCTAGTCGAAACGGTTTTACGCCAGTAATTAACAATGACATGAAAAACGGTAGCATCATAATTAAACACGCCTGGATGGCCCTACTGGAAAGCATTCACTTACTGCCACTTCAGCAAATTGCTGGCGGTAAAATTTAAATCACGGAATTAGCTTTCTGGGAGTGTTTCAGGTAATTTTTGAAATAATGCCAGGCTGTCAGTAGATGTGGAGTAGTCAAATCTGCGTGACTTATTCATTAGTGATGCACAAAAACCAGACTCTGGAAATACAAATTGTCCGTCGGCAAAGGGCTTCTTGTGTGAGGCATTTAGGAGTAAGTCATTTGTAACCAATTTTGCAGAGAGTAAAAGTTTGTTGACGGGTGCAGAACAGCGGGCACAAAAATACTTGACTTCCATGAAATTGACAGAGTCTATCTTGATCTTATCTCATTCATTACGGTAATTTTTCCAATTGGACAAGCTCGAAGAATGAAAGAAAATTTGCTCTTTGAACGACCTGAAATTTGTTTTAATTTGATACACCGAGGCATCAAAAAATTAATGGGGGACTGTCTTTGAGATCTGAGAACCTTTGTCTTTAATCTGCTCCTCATTTCGATTTATGGACAGTAGAGTTATCATAATAGGTTTAGGCAGTTTAAGCAGGTCCATTCACCTGGTTTGGAACTTCGTTAGGACGTATGTTTGGATTGCGTTTTAGTTCGGCCATATCTTGTTACAATATGCCACAATTGCCTGCAATTCTCGGTGTCGTGCAACGCCAATCAAATAATGCGACCGACAATGCCAACTGGTTGACTTTGATTTGGTATCTTTTAGGTATCAAAATTATCGTACCTAAACTGATCCACCTGAGCATTTTTGGGGACATCTTTGCTTGGTATTGACCATATCGTTTAAAAATAATGCCCTAAGCAAGCGAGCAATTTATTTACTAAAAATTGGGAGATTTGAAGGAACTTACAGTTGTGCTTCTGCCTTGTGTTAGTATATTTACAAATAAAAGTCTAGTCTAACCAACATCGAATAAACCCTGATCCAAAGATTATCTCTCTGTCTGACAGTCCTGCAATGCGTAGTTCCTGAATCTAAAATTCAAATAAACACCTATGCATATCTCGACTACTCCCTAATCAAATCTAAAATTTTTCCCTCCTACAAAGGATTCTGTGTTCATACATTCACTCTACCTTCGGAGTGCCTCATCATTAGATTCTGCAAAAAAACCAACATTTTTGCGAATGTTTACTGATAAACAGGTGATGAAACTAAGCAGCCAATAACATGTAATGTGAATTGCCACAGATGCCAGGATACGTACTTAATCTATCATACTATTCAAGGTTATAATTTTCCGCCTGTGAAACAGGTTGTAGTCAACTAAAGTTTTAGCATGTGCCATATGTAAATACGATAAATTTGACTCTTCCGGAGCTTGTTATAGCATAATCCCAATTATCTCCCAAAACACCTCAGGTTATTCTAATTTTAGACGTGCCACTTAAGGGAAAATTGATATTAAAATGCACACTGTAAATCGAGGTTTTATGATTAAAAGAACTGCAAACTAATTGACGATTTTGTCCACAATTGTCACAAGCAACAAAAATAGTCAATTTGTCGATCAGTAGTAAGTGCTAAGTTTTGACTTAGCAGGTGCCCGCTTGCCGGGTCTCATAAAAGTAGGTGAGAATGCGTTTAATTAAGCTTCTACCAGTTGTGAGTACGAAAGAACTGTTGCATGATTAAACTTTTACTTTGTAACAAAGTTGAAAGTGCAACAAAAAAACCCATTACTTTTGCAGATAATGTATCAAAACTTTGCATTTTTCATAAGTGGATGAAGTGAATAGTCGGAAAAATGTACTCAGGTAGCTTGTGTCCATTCTGCAAATGTTGCAGATCGATCATTACTTGCTGTTTTACCATCCACCGCTGTAAGTAGTAAATCTTTTTCTGCCAGTTTACCTTGATGTAAATGATAATTTTCTTAGTCAAAAATTGTTAAATGTGGAAAAAAATCTATTTTAGTACGACTTGGTGTTTGTACTTGGACTGAAGTGGATGTAATTTGTAAAATCTAAAATTTACCACATTCAACCTTTATCAGCCCATTGAATATGCAAAATTTTTGGCACAAATACACGATTTCGTTCTAACTAGGCATTTGTTACAGTCTTTGTTTGTTTAATAGTCTGGGAATTGCCACACTTCCCTTGGGACCTGTTATCACAGGCAGAATTAATGAGAAAGTGTTGACTGTTTGCGCCTCTGTTTGCAATGCCAGTGCTCTAAATATAGCCATGTCATTAAGGGAAAGCCTAACGGCTGCCCAACGAGCCTCTGTTGGAAGTGAAGAGGAATTTACGTCCATTTTTGGAGACGAAGCTTAATGAGATCCAAGTTCTTAGGTCAGCCGATTTCATGAGCAAATGATACAGTCACTTCCTCGATCAACTCCGTAAGTCCAACAGGCTGGAATTCTGAAACTATAGGGTTAATAGGGTAAATCTAACAGGTAGTGGTAAGCAATCCCAATTTTCCCCCCAATCTCTGTTTTTTTTAAAAAAATCTTCAATTTCAGTTTTGAAATTGAAAATTTAGTTCCGATACAAAATTGAAACGTCGAATGCACCGGGCAACACGGCCGCTGATATCGGTTTGGCCATTAGTTGGATTTATGATAATCTGCTTGATGAATGCTCCTTCCTTAGAGTCTCAGACAAAAAGAATGGTCATTTTTTTTGTTCCAGTTTCACGTAATTTTTGTATTGTAATAGATAGTGCAAGGAGAAACTCAACTACTGGACAACTAGTTCAACTCGTAGGATTCTTCGACCAAGCCTCCATCAATTTGAAGAAATTCAGTGAAAAAAACCTAAATCAAAACATCTTTAGAAATAATTGTATGAATAATTAGCCAAAGTAACCGCCAATGTCTGTGGGCTTAGTTTCCACGGCATCCTCACGTGATATTTGTCCACAAAACTCGGGTTTTGCTAATATAAATAGGCTAATCTGACTTGCTGTTCTCACATGACCCTCAAACTTTTATTCAACGTATCTTTAGAGCTTACGAATTCAACAAACAAAACATGTAAATTTGGCAGTTTTTTCCTGATGAAATAAGTGTGGCTTCTTAGAACATCTTGTGACAAAATTGCCATGTCTCTGCCCTAGCTGTTTTGCCAGGAGATAAAATAATGCAGCAGATGATGACTGGAGTTGATTGCAAATTTGATAAAACACCTTTTGGAGTAGAAAAATTTGTGTTTCCTCCAAGTTTTCTATGTTCACTTGCTGGACAGACATCTCTATTAGAACAACGGTCGACTGGTCAGGAGGGAGGGCATACGACGTGGGAAGGCCGAATGCCAACCAAAAGGCGGAGTGTGTTTTAAAGAGACCATGTTGCAAGCACAAGCAAGAGTTACTATTGGCGATGAAAAAATTTGTTTCCGTGACTCTAGCGCATCCATAAAACTTTTAAAGTGCCGACAAATGTGGCAAGCCACCCAAACGAGTTTCGCGTTTGTTTGTGCATACCTTGTTATTACTGCTTTTTTGGCTTGGAGAGAGACGCGCCTACTTTCCCTGCTTCGCAGAAACAAATTTTTAATTTACATATTTTATGTACAATGATATAGCGACGCAGATGCAGATTACTTAAGTCTGATACTGCGCGGCTATTCCAATATTTCATGAGACTCATTAACTCCTGCATTTTTTCGTTCACTGCTCAATAGACGACACAATTGAGAGGGCGAAAATGGCACTGCTTCCACAAAGCTCTGAAATGGGGCATAACATGTCGCAATCAGCTATTGTCTCCCTCTCCATCTTTGCTGTGGTATGCGTAGCATTCCTTCTGACATTCTCGTGCACAATGCTTCGCCAGCGACAGTTATCTGCATTACAGAAGAGGGCTTTTCGTCGTTTCTCTTACGACACATTTGACTCCCACAATGCGCCGACAATCCTATTCGATGAGCATTTCATCCAGCCTCAGGCCCCAGGTTGCCGCTCCACCACATTGTCTCCAATTCAGGAAACGCACTCTGAGGGACTGACCATCCCTGCGATCCCGCATAGGCGCCACTCGGCTCCGAAAGCGATTCAGCATTTCGTTCGGGACAAGTGTCTATTAAGAAGACCAGCGAGCAGTTGCATTCAGTTTTCGCAACCCCTTGACATGACACCGATCCTGCATCTGTCAGTCGGCTACATTCACACAGTAGAGCTGCTTCGTGTGATTGTCGACAGGGTGACTGGTTTGCCGTCACAGAAAGGCACGATGATTTACGTGCTCCAAGTTCGAGTGATGCCGCGGTCAAGAACGTGTGCGTACCTGAGCAAACCTCTGCTCACACCAGCTGTTCGAGAGAAACCCGAATTCGACCACCTCTTTGAATACACCGTGAGTTTGCAGAGGCTGGATCAAGCAAAGATTGAAGCCACTCTCTTCGCTAGACCGTGGTCTAGCAGTTTGGACTGCAGTAAAAGGCGGAATACCGTTGGTGAAATTTCGTACACGCGTCGAGTAAGCTTTGCGAGGTCTGACGTGAAACTGACAGAGCTCCTAGAGCACTACAAAGAGGTGGGGAAGGCTGAGCTGAAGGTGGAGGCGCGCTTGCTGAGGAGCGACCCAGAGGCGCTCACTCGTTTGACCCTGCCGCTCGTGCTGGCTGACGATGAGACGGACGCAAGCACTGAGGTCGCTGCTGATTGAATTTCCACTGTCGTGACTCACCTAACTGTGTGTATGCAACAGCTTGTGAAGTCGTTGTCCAATTTAAGATAAAGAGGTAGTTATTTTTTGTGACAAATTTTTCAATTGCCTACACATCGAAACACTCAAGATTCATATTAAAAAGTTCTACAAGTATTTCAATAATTTGTGGTATTGACCGTTCACTTCAATCGTTTTCGTTTGGCTACGTGTGCGGTAGTAGCAATAGGCTCGAATCAAAAGTTTTGTCTAACATGCGTTTTTAGTTATCCCTACCTTGCTTTAAGTGTAAAGAAATTCAAAAAAAGTAACTTCTATTAATTTTTTGTTAAATTTTAAATAATTTTTGCTTTACCTAGGTAGGTTTCCTCCATCAAGAAGTCAATTAGCTTGTTCGGTAATTGACTCCTAAATGCCCTCAGATATTACAGGTCGATGTTCATGAACTGGTTGCTTGGTGTTTATCACCCTATCCGAAAAATGTTAATGAATTAAATTTACTGAAGCATTTCCGCTAGTTGAGGTCTTCGTGTTCCTAAAAGCTAGTGAAGGGAGTTCTTGTGAGGCAAATAGGTTTGATCTGACTTTGATTAAATAAAATACTACAACTTTTAGCTCATTGGTAGCTTATTATGGAACCTAATCGCGATGCTAAATGAGCACCTTCCAGCTAAACTATAAAGTAGCTTGTGTTTACACATGTTGTGGCTAAATGTGCGAAAGTTCACAGACCACCGTTAAAGGGATTAGCGTCGTGTAACATTTGGATCCTGTAACAACCAATAAATATGTGCACATGTACTTAGCTGCTCTATGTGAAAACATATGCTACAGACAGGATTTCATTCTTCGGAGGTGAATATCTCTGGTTTATTTTATGGTTCATTCCGGGACTAACACATGCAAAAGCGACCAACCCAAAGCAGTATTAACTGAATCCTAAAAGTTATTTTTGATGTTAATTCTTGCCAGTGGCGATAATGGGGTTTTATCTACACTTTCGAAAAATTTTGTGTCACTTTCGACCAACTTATTGCTGCAGACGAGGAATCACTTATGCAGGAGGCTAGGCAGGTTTTAGTTAAGCCACCAATAGAAATGTAGGGTTGAAAACTCCGGTCTCTATTCTGCTTTTGGCAGCGATCACAATTAGCCTCATAGTGATTAGGGTTAACTTGCTATTTTATATCGTGTAGTGTTCGATCAAGTCATATTTTGATAACGGTCTGCTGTCAGCTTCATGTTTTTTAGGACAGAATTAATTGACGTTACACTTTTTCTAAAATTGTACCTTACTGGACTTTAAAAACCACCTTCTTCTAAGAGTAACTTTTCTATTTCGGAGCTATATTTTACTTCTACAGGATATAGGTTGATTATTAATATTGCACTGCGTGTCTAGATTTGTCTAGCGTGTGTATCTTAAGCATTTCAGACAAAGCGAAGGCGTAATACAAAGTAGGTCCCCCAGTAAATGTGGCAGGATTATTTAAAGAAACATCTAAATGTTATAACTCACGACAGGTAAGTCAGAGTTACTCCCATATGATTAAACCCATGTGTTTAACAAAATGCGATTTATAAATAAGGCTTGTTTTGACTTCTCTCACTGTCAATTTACTTATAATGCCACCAACCCAAGTCGTGAAACGGTTATTTGCGGTGTCTTTGCTAGGATTCATATTTGAACCAGTTAGAGGCGTATTGGCATCTACCACCAGAATACAGCACGTTGTGCTGATATGCCTGTCAATATCGCCCTAAAGTTTCTAATTTTGGTTTGAAGAGATGAACAACCCAGAAACTATTTGTTGCTGAATCACAAGATGCTTATCTTCATAGTTGTTTACTAATCGTGGTCATTGGTGATGTAGGAATGTCCGCCCTTTACTTGATTAATGTGATCACGCAATGTCGATGGTGTGCAAAAATATTGAAGTCATGTCAGATCATTAGGCGTCTCAAGCCTACACGGTTTTTCACAGAGGACATTTTTAATTCAAGGTGAATTCTGTTTTTAGGCAACAACTTTTCTACTGAGGAAAGCACAAAGTCCTGACCTCCAGACTCGAGTTTATCAAAAGCTAGGTCCACACAGGAAACCCCTAATATGATGTGCCGATAGGAGGGTCGATTTGCATAAATTCCACTATTTAATTGGTGGGTAAAATGCACGGAAGGAGAACTAAAAGTAGCAAAAGTGATCGAGCCATCAGTGTACGCCAAATCTTGAGTTTGCCAGCAGGTGTTTAAACAATCGATTATTTCTGAAAAGCGACTATTGTTGGCCTAAGCAGTTAATGTGGGCATATCTTATCCATGTTATTTTGACTGACTTGTTTGTCAGAAATCAGCAGTTTTGTGTTTCTGACAGAAAATTGTGCCCCAGGAATAATGAACGATGGATAGGTGAAGAATGTCCATTCATTATGAGACATTTTACCTGAAACCAAGTGCGATTTCGAGAAAATTTGAAAAAAAACAATAAGCAGAGATCGATAGGCAGTCTGGATCACCGATTTGAAGCATCAGGTTCATGGAAAGATCTCCCAGGACCTGGGAGACCAGCCTCTGTCAGCAAGTTTAATCAGACTTGAAATTTGCTTCTTGCTTGGAGTCCTTAAAAGACAATAAGCAAAGCCAAATTGTTTGCAAGCTCCTGAGGTATGGTTCCTGCAAGACGGGTTAGGTTATTGTTCACTTAATGATAAACCACTAATGTCCTTTACATATTTATAAAGTCAAAGTCTGTGCTTAGAAACCCAGGTCTATTCGGAAGCTTGCCGCAAAGTAGTAGACATTTGTAAGAAAATTGTTGTAAATATGTAGCCAATTTAAATGGTACTCTGGTCTACGTAGAATTCGAATTGTGCTTGTCTGAACTGAAATGAAAACAATTATTTGGACTTTGAATTTTTAACAGCCAAATTTCTTCTGCCTCACCTTCTAATTTAATAAATTTCAGGCAGCTTGCTCCTTCATAGTATATATTGCCTGTAATAATAACCGTTCAAGATGTGAGGGCTTTTCAGGAAGCAAAGTAAACTATACACGTGTTGCTTATGGCTCTCCTAACTATCCTTGACCCCAGCATCATTTACTAAGTTTTGAGGTTTATTACATGATCGACAAAATGGTAACCACAACGGGCAGTTATTTCAGATCATTTCAACATTCTGTTTTACTAGTATTTTCTTCTAAAATCACAATATTTGCATACAAAACTCTTAATTTGCTTATGCAAGTGCTCTTAAAAAAGTAGAATTTATAGCCACAAGGCTTCTGGATGTTGCCATGAGAGTGCATTTTGAAAGCTATGTCTATCAGTTATGCTTCCCTCAAATTATCATTCACCACTGTCCTAGAATTACCATATCAAGGTTAACCTGTCAGACCACACTAAATGTCAAAGCGTTATGGACAAGTTAAGCTATACTTTGCTCTTACATGGTGGTTTCCTGGTGAAATAAAAGTGCGTACAGTAGTTAGGTAGGCAATGCAGAACAATAGAAAACGTTCGCTTAGAGCCGATACTAAGTTGAATTTGATAGGTGTCTTTTTTGCAGCACTTAAAATAGGATGAGCAAAGCATTATGGGATTAAGCTGGGTAAAAAACGCCCCAGATGAAGACATTATATAGAGGGTGGTTCATGACCCGGCTGCAGGAAATGACAAATGGAGATCTTGTGTCACACACTCCCTGTTTGAAGCAACTTAAATTGCAGAATCGCCCTAAAATAAGACGTGATTCAAGAATTCAGTTTATCAAAACACCTCAGGGGACTTTCGACTTCGTTAGCTTTTATCGTACTCAGTTTAATCGACGAAAAACCAGCTGAGCTCAAGTGGACTGGCATTTATAATCCCTTACTAGCATTATCATCAGAAGCCAAGCCCAGTATTCTAACCACGTGTGTTCATTAGGAAAGCCTTTCTTCTTGCTGTACATTGCAACATAAGCCGACTGTGTAAGACGAATGCGATTAGCTTAGTGCTATTGAATTCAGAGACATTATTTAAAAAAAAAACAGTAATCGAATCCGGCAGATTCCATATGAAGATTTCGATACTTGCTTAAATAACAAAGATGTTCATTCGTTGATTTCTGGAGACAGTTTGAAGTCCCAATCATTCATAATTCCCGTAATTGTTTTCTCAAGACAACAGTCCCAAAGTAGGTACTAGGAAGTCAAAGAGGCACGAATCACTGCAGTCTGTGTAAAAATGACTTCACCGAAATAAACAAAGGAATGGTTGCATATGTGTAGAGAATTATGTTGGTCCACATTCATTGACTCGGTTGCCCTAAACGCCGACAAACGGCACTTCTCTATCGATCATGCTACATCGTCTGCTCATACACTCAGTGTGTGTACCACCCTCACTACTCATTTCATTTATTTGACCGTTCAGCCATTTTCGCCTATGCAGGTTTATCCAGACTGCATCAAGAACCCTCATTAGTTAGACAATAGGTCTTTCGCATTGTGCCACCACAAACAGATTTCGCCATTTAGCAAACGGTCGTATCACCGCAATCTCCTGTCTTCAAGGTCTTCTCGGGTGTCTGAGAAACTTCATCGACCAAATTCAACGCAGCAGTCGAGACGAGGTGGGGTCATTGACTGCATACCGGGATCTTCGAAAGATTTAGCCTGAGGTTTCGGACTGTTGTGTCAGCGGCCAAAAGTTTTGACTCTTTTTCATTGCCAATCCACAACCTAGTTACTCGGAAGGGATGCCTGCACTTGCATTCACCTTCTCAACCTCACACCTAAATTGAGCCTTTTTATGCTGACTTCACTCAAGCCAAATTTAAAGGCTTTTCCCGACACCCACTCTTGTAAATTACCGAACGGGGGGCATTCGTGACCAAACCTAATTTCATCTCATTTGAAAGTCCACGTTTTAGGGCCAATTATTTTTGGATTTTAGCAAAGATGCTGTTGAAAGCGTCATAAATTTTAGAGTTTCCTAGATCGCAGGAGGTAACACGCAC